GGCATAAATTATCATTGAACATTAATAAATGCTACCATATGACCTTTTCTTGATCTTCAAACATCATCAGTTCGAATTATAGTATTTTAAACCATAAACTCATCTCAGTCAATGATTTTCTAGATCTGGTTGTTGTGTTTGACTCGGGCTTCACTTTTACAAATCATGTTAATTACGTTATCCCGCGGCGTATAGCGGCTTAGCATTTCTGCGTTGATATGCTTAGGATTTTAAAGATCCTTATACCAGGAAAACTCTGTTGTACAAGATAGACGCATGTTGTATGGGGTTTGGTAGGACATGGTATCAATAGGGCAAAGAAAGGATGTCAGATGAAAGGATACGCAGAATTGTCATTTAGGCGTGACTCGCCAAATTATGTATATGGCACGATCTGTATCGTTTCGATACTCAAAAATGATTGTTATTTATTTCCACTTTCATTTGTTTATATAGCTTAAAAATACAATACAAATTCTAAGTTCAATATACTTAATTGACCTACTTAATTTCTACTATTGCTCATAATGATTTTGGTAGTCATGTGCAATGTGATTCCTCACTATTAACACTCAAAAAACTTTTTGGTGACACACTGTACATATTTTGTTTCGTCAGCAGTTATTTGTATATGCAAAATTGCTTGAGCACACTTTCTGTTCATAATAGCCGATCACACTCAACATGACCCAATTCTCATATTATAAGCAAAAAATATAATTAATAAAAATGAACTGCTATGCATATAGCTAACACATATTGTATCAGGTACATGCACAACACCCTCATCCTTTAAAAAAAAAAAATAATTTGACTATCTTAATGGAAAATTTATTTTTTCAGCTTATGCATTGCTAGCTTTAATTAGATTGTTATTATGTACTTCTTTTTCTTCTTCTCCAATCAATATTACACTATTTAAACCATTTTGTGTATAATCTTGTATGGACCTTTAAAAGGTCTTTCTAGTTTTTTCTTATTTCCTATTTTTATATAGAGATAGTCTCCAGATTTAAAATTAGATTTTTTCACATTTGTTTGTTTTCTTGCAATTTGTCTTTTGCTTTCAATTAGTGTTTCTCTTACTTTTTCATGTGCATATTTCAACTTCACTTTAAATTCATTTATGTAATCATTTAGGTCATACAATTTTTCTTTATTTTGTATAATTTCACATGGTAATGCACATAATTTTCCAAAT